GTTCTGCACCCGCCAACAGGCCCCTCTGCGCCCTCTGGCTCCACCTCGGCCTCATCCCCGTGGCTCTGACTCCCTGGCCACCCCGCGCGTGGGCTTCCACGGCCTCTGTCCTTTGTGGCTGCCAGTCACTTGGCATGATCTCAGGGTCCTCTCAGCAGGAGTGTCTACCCCTCTTCTCTTCGCCACCCTTCATCCGTGTCCGTGGGTGGACATGTGCATTGCTTGCACCTCGGTCCAGTGTGAGTTCTGCTGCTACGACCTGGGAGTACAGATGCCTTGGAGACCTGCTCCCAGGTCTGGGGCCCCTCACCTAAGAGTGAGGCTGTGACTTACCGGGACACTTTGTTCTATTGTCATTGTTTCATTACAAAACAAACATTTGCTTTTTGTAAGAAATTTCAGTCCTTATGGAAATAAATACAGATTGAGAATCCCTGGTCTGAAAACTCGAAATCTGAGATGCTCCAAATTCTGAAAGCTCTGAGCACCAACTAGACACCAGAGATGGACAAGTCCTCACCATGAAGCCATGCGATGGACAAAGTATGTCACTAGTGGACCCGTCGTCTTCAGGCTCCGCACAGAGCATATGAGAAATGGCTGCCCTTGGTTTAGACTTGAGTCCACCCCAAGATATCCATCGCATATGTATACAAAGACGAATATCCCAGAATCCAGAACAAGCCAAAGTCCAAACACTCTGGTACCAAGAATTCCCGGTAAGGGATCCTCAGCTGTATCCCTTCCCTTCCAGATCAGCCAATCGGAGGTCAAGTAGGAGAGGACTCACCCCTGCCAGAGGTCTTTCTCCACAAAGACATACACCTACACCTTCGTTTTCCACAAGGAGCCACACCGCGCACACTCTGTGATAATGTCTTTACTGAATCTTACCACAGTTTGTCTTTCTAGATCCACACATAAAAGTCTCCTCGCCACTTTAACAGTTACATAGTAGCCTACTGCATGTTATGCATGAGAGGGAGGAGGAAGAGGGGGAGGAGGAAGAGGGGGAGGA